ATTATTAAAAGTATTTAACTGTGTACTAACTCAAATGAGCCAACAACAGGATAATATTATTAGTTAAAATATATAGGGATAATTCATTCAAAACTTCCTTAATCATTTGTTGAGCAAAGACTTTTGTTTATTAAAGAATTGTATTGCAACTATCCACATCTCATATGTTGTACTGGGAATTTCAGAGAAGATGATAACCATGCATATCTCTCCTACTTCCTATGTTGTGCTATGGAGAAGACAGGAAAGAAACTGCATATACAGCTAAACACAAGACAAGGAGAAATTGCAATTATTGAAACAGGAATTTGACTCAGCAGACAAATGCTTAAATTGGGTAGTCAATAATCAAATCAGAATAATACAGAGAAAACCATCTTTGCAAGATGGGAATTAATAGGTAAGCAATGAATAAAGCCAAAATATTACTAGTACAAAATATTACTAGTATCTAGTACAAAAAGGAATGATAATGGTAAAACTGGGGATGTATGTGGAAACAGAATACAGACTACATGGAAGACCATTGATATAAAGTTTGCATATGGCTTAAGGGTCTTGAAGTACCGCTGGAAAGTTTTAAATGATAGGTACATGTCATTTGTGTTTGTCATATAAATAGGAGCTGGTATGTTATAAGAAATATAGAAAAGTTGCAATGGAAGAGCAGGTTACATTTTGAAACTTCAAGGTAAAAATTAGTAGTGACTCATATATCTAGTCAGAAGAAATAAGGAGAGTCATGTCATATACATCAAAGGAACAACCCACCAAGAGAATGCTACAATTCTAGAGTAATCACACCAAAAACAGGTGTACTAAATTTCATACAACAAATATTATTAGATCAAAAAAAATGTCCTGTAGATCAAACCCAAGAGAGTGATGGTGGGTTATTTTCCTATCTCCTCTTACCAATAGACAAGATATCTGAACAAAAGCCAAACAGGGAAACATTGAAGTTAAATGACATAATAAACTGAATAGATCCAATAGACATCTATAGAACATTTTATTCAAACATGAAAAAATGAACATACTTTCCGCTATTCATGAAAATTTCTCCAAAATAGACCATGTATGAAGATAGAAAACAAGTCTTAATAAATATAGGAAAACTGAAATACCATCTGATATTCTGACCACACTGTAATCAATCTCTATATCAACAACAATGGAAAATAAATACAATGCAAAAACTCATGGAGATTTAACAGCATATTACTAAATTAAAATCATGTGGTGGAAGAAATCATGAAGGGTATTTAAAAACATCTTAGGATTTAATGGAAATGGAAACTCAACCTACCAAAATTTATAGGACACAAAGAAGATATCCTTCAGAACAAAGTCTATATCACTAAGTGCCCACATAAAAAATATGGAGAGCTCTCATATTAATAACTGTATGAGGTCATAGAAAAAAATAGTAAACAACATGCAAACATTGTAGATTAGAAGAGTTGAAAATTAGGGCTGAAATTGATTAAACAGAAATGAAATAAAAATAACAGAATCAAGAGCTGGTTCTTTGAAAAGTTTAACAAGACTGACAAATTTTAGCTAAATTAACCAGCAGGAAAATAGAGTATCCAGATTAATAAAATCAGAGATAAAAAGAGGTATTACAACAAATATTGAGGAATTTTGAAGTTAAAGGAACACATTTTAAATTCTATACTCCACCAAACTGGAAGATCGAAAAGAAGTAGAAGAATTTCTAAAAGTGTATGACTTGCCAACATTAAATGAAGATGAAGTAAAAACTTTAAGCAGGGCCACACAAACCAATAAAACAGCAGTAGTAATTCAAAAAATCTCCCAAATACAAAAGCTTCAGGCCAGATTAACTCAGCACAAAGATCTACCAGACCTTCAAAGAAGAAGTAGTACCAGAACTTTTCAAATTACTTGTGAGGAAAGATGCTCAAATTTCTATTTATGAAGCCAAAATTCCCATGATACTTTAACCAGATAAAGACGTAGTGAAAAAGTTAAATTATAGGCCAATTCTCCCTTATGTACATAGTAAAACTAATTCTCAATAAAATGTTACCAAATTTTTTCAGTAAAATTCAATAGCATATCAAAGGTCACCCTTCGCAATCACATCAGCTTCACCTCACAAATTCAGAGAAACTTTAACATACACAAATGAATCAATGTCATCCATCTCATAGTAGCATTTTAGTCAGAATGTATTATATGAGAGAATAATATATTTTCAATTTAAAAAGTCATATCATTTGTAAACAAGGGTACTTGCATTTCTTTCTTTCCTATTCATTTACTCTTCTCTGATCCCACCCCCCCTCTGTCTATGTATTCAAGGACCATGTTGAAAACAAACCAAAAAAGAGGCTATCCTTTGCATTTTTCCCACTTAACATAATGTTGGCTAGTTGTATATTGTCTCTATTATTTTGAGGTATTCTCTCATGTTGCTAGATTTTCCAAGACTGTTACTGAGGACACAGATAAAAGTCCACATTCTTATAGTTACCTATTTTTTTTTATAAAATGGCCGATAAGCATGCATTAGAGAAAACATAAAATTTTTAACAAATATTTGCTAGTCAAACTGTAAGCAAGATGCAGAGGAATAAAATTAAATCTTTACCTCCCACCTGCATAAAATTCAATTTCAAATGGATCAAAGACCTCAACATAAGGCCTTATACCCCAAATCTGATAGAAGAAAAATGAGGGAATACAATCTAACTTACAGGCACAGGAAATGACTTTCTGTACAGGACATGGATAGGTCAAGTGTTAAGACCAATGTTGACAAATGGGTCCTCATGAAATGAGAAATCATCTGGAGAACAAAGAACCAATAATTTGTATAAAGAGGCAGCCTACAGAATGGGAAAAATGTCTTTACCAGCCTTAAACATGCAGAGAGTTTCTGTCTAGAATATACAAAAACTGTAAAACCAAACATGAAGAAAATAAACAACCAAAATAAAAATTGAAACATGGAACTAAATACAAGATTTGTAAAAGAAACAATATGACTGAGAAATTGCTAGTTAAAACTGCTTTGAGACTTCGTCTTAACACAGTCTGAATGGTTAAGAAGTTTTTAGCATGAATATCTTTATGGAAGACATGTATTCACTATTATCATAGTGTAGATTGTTGCGGAGTTTCTACAAAAAGCAAGAAATAGCTATCAAATAACACAGTTTTAGCACTTCTTGGTCTGTTCCCAATGGAATCTATCCTGCTATAGAGATACCAGACCAACCAAGTCCAATGCTGCTCTGTTCATAATAGCCAAGAAATTGAAAAGGCCTAGTGGTCAATCATGGATGAATCAATAATAAAAATGTGGTTCTTATGCACAATAGAATACTATCCAGCTGTAAAACAACATTTTCTGGGATTTTGTTTTTTACTTTTTTTTTTTATTAAATGGAGAGTGAAGGATGTCTCTACAATTTTGTTCAAATGACTGCAGAACCTGGAAAAGCTGTTGCTGCTATTGATGCATAACATACTGCCATTATTGGTCATTTTATATAAATATACATATATAATTTGAATTTTTGGAAACTTTATCTGTGCTGTCAAGTTTGGAAAAAAGTATCACAGTTTACCGCGTTCAGTTGGCATTGTACAAAAATTAACAGCCATATTGTTCTAGAAATGTTGAACTTAATTTTTTCTATTTGTACAGGGGTAACTCACTGTATTAAATATGTAAAGTCTTAAAAAAAGAAGGGATTTTGAGAGCCCATCGCATATTAAAGAATGCTCTCTTGACCTGGACACATGGGGAAGAGCCTAGGCCTGGCCCAGGATGATGTGGTAGACTTTGGGGAGCCCCTTTTGAGGGCCTTACCCTGCCTGGGGAGTAGAGGGGGGATGGCTAGGGGGAGGTGGGATGTTGGGGGGAAGGAGAGGAAGAGGGAGAAGAAATTGACATCTGAAGCAAGCTTGTTCCTAATTTGAACTAATAAAATAAAATAAAAATAAAAAAAATATATTCGCCAGTAAATGAAAACACCTGGAAATAGTCATCCTGAGTTACGCAGTACTCAGAAAAACATATGTCTCTTTCTCTATCACATGAGGCTACTGTTTTTTTTTTATCTTTAGGTATGTTCATTTCAATTGTAGCAATCATCAAAGATAAAAAATCACTAGTGGGTGGTTGGGATGTTCAAAGTAAGGGTGGTAGACTACAAAGGCATGGATGGAGAAAGACGAATAACAGAACAGAAAGGGTTAAACTGGGTTTGGAGTTAAAGGTAGAAAAGAGAGTGTGGGGGTAAAGTAACTAACAACAAAGACCTTTGAAAATGTTGTAGAAAAACCTACTTCTGTAAGTTTTCTAAAATGTACTCTTAAGCATATATGGGCTAAAATGTAGTTATCCTATAATGAGGAGACAATGCCTCCCCAAGATACCACAGTGTATTAGATAAAAGACCCAGTGTTAGACATAAATTAAATCTTTTCTAGCTTTAAATCTTTTCTAGTTCATCAGTGAGGTCCCATAAATCCCCCAGACATTACAGGGTTTTGTTATTGCTCTTAGTTACTATCTTCAATCTTGATCATACGACCCTATTGCTGAAGATTCCACATGCCTGAGTCATAAAACATAAGAAAAATTAAGCTGGTACTAACTTGGAGGCTTCAGTCCTACTGCTTAGCTTTCATAGTGGTGGAAGACACTGTATTCATTACCAGAGAAGAAATGTAATTATCAATATCACCTAGCTGTGAGCACTGAGAATTACAGTAATGATTGGAGTGGAAAGGCATAGTCACTGATGCATTCATGACACAAATGTTAGAAAAGTAATCAAAGACCTCTGATTAGACTTCAAGTCTGCTCTATAGATCAAACCCATGCCATTTACTATAAACTATATCCCAAGTCTGACTCTGACTAGGCCATAGGCCCTAAGAGAAGATCCACTCCCACTATTCTGGCAAATGTACATAGTAATAAGATGTTCTCTGCATTCTTATCATTATACCCACAGAAGAATACATCTCTCAACTCTCTTCATAGAAGTTTCTTTTTGGAGAAGATGGCAATTAATAAAGAAACACACAACCAGTCAATGTTAACATGCAAAGAATAAGAGACTTCGAGAGACTCCCCATGCTAAAGTAGATGACCTCATTCCTATGAGCATAAAGACAGCACTGGATGGATTCATTAGATATTAATTTTAAAAAATGAGAGAATGAATCTAGGATATACTGATGTGGAAGCTGTGGAGGTAAAGAGGGGTAGACTTGATCAAAACATATTGTGCATGTATGAATATGAAACAAAATATTACTATAGCTAATGGCTGTTTAGATCAAAGTGCAGTTGGCAATGGAAATACGTGGATAAATGCTGACGATATGTTGTAGATAGCATCAACAGGAGTTACTGAGGAATTAAATTGTGTAGTGATTTAAAAATGAATAAAGGATGACTGTTGATTTAAGATTTTAGTAACTGAATAGGGATTAGAAATGTATAGAATGTATTAAAGGGTCAAAGAATATGCACAGAAAATAGAGGTTGAATATATCTATGTTAAGGTTTATTACATATCACCTTTACTCTAGACATATTAGGGTAAGATATTTCTAGTCTATATGAAGGCAAATCTCAATGTATAAAGTAAGCGGGAAAATCTGTCTTCAGTGGGAAATTTGTGGCTGTCAATGCACACTGTACAAACTGGAAATCATTATCATAAAGATATGCTTTCTATGGATGTTCAGAGTGGGGGAAACCAACTTATTAAGGAGAGGGGAGCTTAGGCTGGAGATTAGGAGCCAGCCCACATAGCAGTGCAAACAGGAGATTGCAAATTAAGAACTTAAAGACAAAGTACAATCCAGTTAGTTGTGTGGCACTGATCAAGATGGAAAGATTGCAATCTTTACCAGTTCCCAGCTTCATGCTACAATTTGATGGGAGCCATAATGAACACAGCTCATTGGCTTACAGTTAGGACTCCATAAAATTATATTTTTTTCTTTGCCGTTTCTGGAATAACCACACAACATGGTAACACTAATGATGTGCCAGCTATACACAAATCTTCATTATTGTAGACAGGGAGCATTTTTGAAGGCTGTCATTTGGCCTTCATTTCTATCCAATTCCTTTAATATCTTAAAAGCCCAGTGATTACTTATTTTCTATGGAAACAAAATGGTTGATGGTTTTTTTTTAACTGTATGTTTCATAATAATTAAAACTGTACCTGCAGCTTATTATCATGTGGTTACTTTCTTTGGTCCCCGTTTGCATTAGTGTGTGGAAAACTGGAATGGCTTCTTAAGGCAGTGTGGTCTCAGATTCCATTAGGGTTCCAACCTCTACAAAAGTATGTGTATTGAAACAACACAAATTGAATGGGAGTAGAAGAGGTCAGGTAAAATAAAGCATAGTGAGGCATCATGTAAATGGACAGTACTGGAAACAAATCTCACCAAAACCTGTGCTCCCTCACCCACTTAATAGTATTAGCCAGGGAAACTCTCCCTCCATTTTAATCAATAAGTTATAAATTTAAGATCTGTGTTGTAATAACGTTTCAATTTTATTTGTTCAATGTAGGAATTCTTCGTTGAGGCTAAATAAAACATGCTTTCTAGAAAACAATATTATACTTTGTACAAAATTGATTTTAATGCTTTTTAACTACAGAGTGACAGTTTACTAGGACGTATTTTTACTGTTTTCATTGTCTCATCTAATTTTATTTTTCATTTTCCAAAATCATTTGTACAAGCCTGTGGGAAATGGTGGTGTTTATCCTCTGGCTTCTCTTTCTTCTGAGATAATTTGTAATTTGCTAACACACTGTAAACGCTACAGCTTTGCATAACTTCTGAATGGTTAATCTGTTTGTCCTCGAAATTACCAGATTATTCATTTAAATTTGCCATCATTTTCCTTGCACATTAAAAATGTACTCAAGATAAGTTTAGTATGCAATGTTAAGGGCTAACATAAAATTCACTTTTTTATCCTTTAGAGGAGCAAACAATATTGAAAACACTGAGTACCTAAGAAATGATTTCAATGAGAATTGTGAATGCCTAAGAGGGTAGATATTTTCAATACATATTAAAATTATGCCCTCAAAATTGTTGTGACCAGTTATTTAGGCCAAAGTTGAATTTGGGTTTAGGAACAAAAAAAGTCAATCTTTTTTTCTTGTCCTTCGTTTCTTCTTTCCTTCCTTCCTTCCTTCCTTCCTTCCTTCCTTCCTTCCTTCCTTCTTTTCTTTCTCTCTCCCTCCTCTTTCTTTGTTTTGTTTCTAATTAGAAGCTCTAGTATGTAAACTCGTGGTAACCATGCAGCTGTGGTTCTGTTCAATGAGGAAATGATATAATGAATACTGAATAGAAGACACGGGAAGACAGGGTCATACGATGGTTAAAACATGAGCCTTAAGAAACAGCGAACATATCCTTCAACTACATTCAGGTATCTTCCTACTTCCTACAATAAGGAATTCTATTAAAGCATTCATTTGTCTTCCCAATGGAGGCCAGTCTCCCTTTCTTTAGAACTACACATTTTTAGTCATGGGGTAATTTGATAAATGTTTTAACTTTCAAAACTAATCTTGTAAGGAGAGAGGAAAAGGCAGTGGTGAGAACATGAAGCAGAAATGAGACAACACATGTGAGTAAAATGTATGTTGAAACCTGACAGGGAACATGGGAGAGGCAGTTGGAAGGCAGTCTTGGAAAATAAGTCAGACATAAACTCTATCCATGTACAACCCCCTTCACTGCAAATTCTGACTTGAAAATCTAGGGTAACATGTACTAAAAACCTTAACAGAGTAGATAAAAAAATGTTGGCATAGATTTTAATTATTCTTGACATATGAAGAAGAGGGTAACAAACTTACTGAAATACTGTGCCATTATAAGATACCATATCACAAAATATCCATGAACAGAAACTGTAGGACAGTGTGATTGATGCACAGAAAAAAATATAAGCAACAAGAGAAATTAGCACTGGCTGTACCAATGAGCATGGGATCTGAGAGCTGATTGAACCACTGAAGGGGGAACTGAGTACCAGCTGAGTCACTGTAGTGGGGAATAAGTGTTGACTGAGCCACAGCTAATGCTCTCACATTTTCATTTCGATGTTAGTTCATAGCCACCTTGGCAGAAGAAAAATGATCATATATTCCAATAGGATGTTCCTTTAAATATTTGCATCAAGTGGGCCATATACTCAACTAAACCAGTAAAACTTTAAAACAAGTGAAATGCTTTGTGTTCAGAAGTAGCAAAGCCAGCCATAAATAATTGGAGCTTTCACCAGCTGCTTTGCTCCTCCGTGGTCCTCCCTGCTGTGAATTGCTGTGCACATTCTCACAGACAGTCATACCTGCACTACTTATTCAAAGTCATAGAACCCTGTGATGGGATATAAAAGCTGGTTGACATTGTTTCAATTTACGATTCCATTTCAATTAAAAACATAATAAGGTAATTTCTATGTGCTTCCAATTTTCTTAATAAATGATGTAATACAATACTCAACAACACCAACAAAACCAACTTTGCTACATTGATGGATTGTACCAGGAAAGAACAGAAATTTGGGTTTTATATAATAATAGGCCTATCTGCTAGCTATACGTTTCAGCTTATTTTCTTCACTTCAACAAGGGTTCCTGATAAAAAAAGCTTAAAGCAGATAATGACATCCTTTACTATGCCCAGTAGGAGATGAATCTCTCAATATTTTAACCATATGCTTCTTGTCACCTGATTCTTTGTATTTTCTTTTAAGTAATAGAAATACCCCAGTCTGGCATTTTGCCTGACTTTTGTGATAGTATTCAATATATTATAAAATGTAAGAAAAGCTTGCAAAACTATGATGAACATGAAAATAGAAGACATACTTTGACCAAAATAGTGAGCAACTTAGAAGTATGTTCTGTATTGTGCTATTCTGCTCTACAATATTCTCAATTAACAAAGACAAATGAGTATCATCATTACTGTGTTTTCTGGTTTTATCTGTATGATTTATGGAGTGTGAAGAGTAGTGTGTGTGTGTGTGTGTGTGTGTGTGTGTGTGTGTGTGTGTATTCTTTGATGTGTGCTGCTGTATTTACCAGGGAAGCTAAGCTGCAAGCTTTGAGAGCTTTGAGGACTTTCCTTTCTTTGATTCCATCTTGTTTTAGAGGAGTTGAAATTACAGACACATGCCAATGTGCCTGATTTTATTTCAGTTCTGGGAATTCAAACTCATATCCAAGCTTGCATAGCAGGCTTTTTACCCAGTAATCTGTCTCAATAGCACCTTTGTCTGATTTAAATCGAAAGACACATATGTCACATATTCATGAACAGATCTCATCAGTTTTATAATCAGAAATATGGCACCTATGACACTGCTTTATGTACCTGTCATTTATGTCTTATATGATGTTCTCAAGAACCATTCAATAGCAATTATAATAATATTTAACAATGAACTTATTATATTGGATTTATTTCTTTGCAGACTGAACCTAGGCACTCATACATGTTAGGCAAGGACTTATTGCTGAGCTACAATCCCAGCACTGTTTTCACACTGTTTTTAAAAAATGTATTTGAAAAAATGTATTTGTTTCACTTTATTTTAAGTTTTCCAAATCTTCACTTATGTGTGTGAGTGACCAGTGAACATATTATATAATAGGATTGTTTATGCATTATTATAATTCAATTACAATATATATATATATATATATATATATATATATATATATTGTATATATGTATACATATAGACCTAGCCCCAAGAATTGTCATATCCTCATATTAATACAACTCAAAAATAGCAACCCATATGGTGAGTTATAGAAACAATTGTGTAGGGCTGGAGAGATGACTTAGAGTTTACAAGTTCTCATTGCTCTTGCAGAGGTCCTGAGTTCAATTCCCAGCTACTATATGGTAGTTTACAACATCCATAATGATATCTATTGCCCTCTTCTGGCCTGCAGGGCTATATGTAGGCAAAATACTGTATACACAATAAATAAACAAATCTTTTTTAAAAAAGAAGAAAGAAACAGTTGTGTAAAAGCTCTCAAGGGGGATTCTGATACTCTTATCATTCAAAAACTTAATAGGAAAACAAAACAAGCAAAAGCTGCCTGAGACCTGAGACGAGTCCACACTATAAAACTTACAAGTCACAGGGGTAAAAGAAAACATCATATTAGTGGAAACAAGAAACATAAAAAAGTACATTCCAGAAATACCAGAAAACTAAGGACTGATTGTTTCCAAATCCTAATGGACTCACAGGGGAGCATTTCAGGCTCAAATTTACTGGATGGCTAGATCATGAAGATTTTATTCCATATAGAAATTTGAACTTGAATTTTTCCCAAGGTTTCAAATATTTTTCCAGTACTCACAATATGGTTAAATCAAAGTAAAAAGCCTTTCATCTTATATTGGTTCCAAATATTTTATATGAAATATATGAATGCTTCCTCTTGACCTGCCTACCAGAATTTGCTACCTTTAAGAGAAAAAAATGTAAAATCCATTTTGTATTAAAGAATCTGTTCGTCAAACATATTTGTAAGATAATACACAGCAGAGGAAATCATAATAGGGTTCACTAAGCAGCCTTACACAAATTCAATAAGTACTAGATTTCTCTAAAGACATTGCCAGTTGTTCAGATGAATGAAGTGAGCTTCTTGACCAGAGGTTACTGGCACAAATCAATAGACAGCCGTGTGCACTCAGCCCATATCATATTTCAATAACAGGTGCTTGGAATTCAGCACACAGCTCAACCATAAATCACAGAAAGAAATGATATTAAAAGTTAGATTTGAACTCAGCAATCAATGGAAATATGCACCAAAGATGAAATACATCTAGACATACACTAAGGAGATTTGTGTCCCTGCCATCCATGTTTTGTAGTTTCATTTCCTACAAGCATTTTGTGAAAAGAGCAAAATCCAGAGTAAACCAGATCCCAACTTACAGATTGCTTAATTTGCTGATTGAGGTAAGGAGGTACGATTGTTGTTCATATGGGGCAGAAAAGCTTTTAAACAGGAAGCTGAAGGACTGGTAGTTCAGAAAGACACTATAAAACAACTGCTACTATGTGAATTTGACACTGTATTTTAGTTATAATTATATATGCATATATCTCATATGCTTGGATAATGACAGTGTTTTATTTTTTTATTTTTTTTAAGTTTTTTTCCTGGATTTTTTTTATTAAATTATTAATATTTTCACATGTACTATATGATCACAACATGGATCACCCAGTGAGATTGCTTGTGAACCCAAGTGGCAGAAATACAAATGGCCATGACTTCCAGTCATGCTACTGGAAGAAGTTGCTGTGATGAACAGACTGGGTTATGTTCAGTGACCTAAATTGGGGCTTAGAAAAAGTAGGTGTGTTCTTGCCTTTAGCAAAATAGGACAAGTGTATGTATTTATTTTCCGACACATCTGCAAAACTTTGTGAGTGTGTGTGTGTGTGTGTGTGTGTGTGTGTGTGTGTGTGACTATAAAAGTAAATGTGCCATTAACCTGAAAAACAAATGAACTGTAAGGTGGATTTCCATCAAAATGGGAATGAAA